AACCACTCTTCCTCCTTGGGATACCTCAAAGTTAAAAATCACATCCTCTACCAATTAGCCAAACTGAGCAATGAAGAATAAGGAGAGAGAAAGATGGAAAACAAGGATTAAGTGAGCAAGATTTCTTCCTTCAGAGCTTCTATTAGCTGCTACTCGAGCCCGTGTCTCAGAGTTAGCAGTCTGTCCTCCTTCTATTAGGGAGTGAGGATAAAGGCCCCAGGACAGTAAATTAGCTCTCAGGAAGGTTCTCACATGGTCTACCTGCACTGGATTCTGTTTCCTGGATCTTGCTTTATTTGCTTAGTGCTCCATAGAACCTACTTCCATGGGCTCAGACTGAACGACACGATGGAGTCCAAGAGAAACAGTGGAACTGACAAAGTGTACAAAGCTTTATAAATAAAGTTTGTGTGTACGTGGTATATGTGTGGGTATGTGTTCATGTGTGTGTGCATTTGCATGTGGGGTCATAGGTTGATATTGAATGTCTTTCTCAGTCCAATCATGCTCTATATATTTTTAGGTGTATTGTTCCTTTTTTAATTTATGTGTATGCATGTGTGTATGATATGTGTATGGGTGCCCACAGATGCCAGAAGAGGGCATCGGATCCCCTAGAGTTGGAATTATAGGTGTGTGTGAGTCACCTGATGTGTGTGCTAGGAACAGAACTCTGGTCCTCTGCAAGATTATCAAGCATTCTTAGCCACTGAGCTGTTTTTCCATCCCCTCTACCTTTTGAGACAGGGTCTCTCACTGAACTCAGAGCTCATCAATTTGGCTAAACTGGTGGTCAGCAAGCCTAGGGATTCTCTTGTCTTTGCCTCCCTATAGTTAGGATTATAGGCTTGCTTGAGCACCGCTGTGCCTGTTTTTTTTTTTTTTTTTTTTTTTTAAATGGGGTGCCATGAATCCGATTCAGGTTCTTGAGCTTGCTCAGCAAGCTCTTACCAACTAAACCATCTCTCCAGCTCCCCAATGAAGTTTCATTAGAACAGAATCATGTCCACTTATTTATACATTGTTTGGTGGCTTTCATGCCACAACAGCAGAGTTTGAGTAGTTGACCTGAAAAGCATCAAATACTTTGCCAATCTCTGCTCCAGAAAGTCTTAAACTGACATTTAAATGCTTAGCTTTGAAGTGATAGACATCGCCTCAATTCACAGTTCCCTGGCCAGAACCACTACATGGCCACACCAAACCAGTGGCGGGGGGCAAGAAGTGCATTCTATTATGTTTCTGGGGAGAGAGGTGTGCTCCTTTGTTTTTGTCAACTTGACACAGGTTAGTCATCTAAGAAGATGGAACCTCAGTTGAGCAATTGTCTCTATCAGACTGGCCTATAGACATGTCTATAGGGCATTTTCTTGATTGTTAATTGATGAGGAAGTCCCAGCCTATTGTGAGTGGTGCCATCCCCGGGCAGGGGCCTGGGCTGTATAAGAAAAGTTGTTGATCAAGCCAGGGGAAAGAAGCCAGTAAGCAGCATTCCTCCCTGGTTCCCGCCTCTGCTCCTGCTTGAGTTCTTGCCCTGACTTTCCTCAATGGTGGACAGTGATCAAGAAGTCTAAGTCAAATAAATTCTTTTCTTCTCAAGTTGCTTTTGGTCAGAGTTTTATCACAGTAACATAAAGCAAATTAGGACAAGAGGTAACCAGCATATTGTGCAAACAGCACTGATGACCACATCAACACCTATTATGTGTTGAACTCAGTTCTAGGTGCTAGATGTAGACAGAACAACAAGACAAAATTCTTCATCTCAAGAAAATCAAGGGGGTGGGGTGGGGAGGGCTAAGAATAGGATAGAGTCAAATGCCCTTTCCTAGAAGAGGCAGACTGTTTCTTCTGAATTGCTGGAAAGGGAAGATGCTCTTTGAGTGTGATGGTAGCTAGACCAGGGCGCTGGCCAGCTCTGCAAGCAATGGAGGGTGACAGATTACTCTGATACACATTTGTATCAATAATAGAAGGGTTGTTTAACAAGAACTCTTAAAGGAAAGATGAGATAATTTCATGTTTTGATATTTGTAAAATTGATTCTGTTGAAGCCAGAGCTCTGCGGTGCATATTATTGCTGCTGTAATTCTGGCAAAGATGTGATTCAAATTGGCAAAGTGTCTGGGAAGGGGAAATCCAAGAAGGAGAGAGGATGGGGTGAGCCGGGAAACAGAGGTGTAAAGCCAGAACCTGGTGGCCTTGTGAGGGCTAGTACCCTGGGAGCCTTTGCCATGATGGACATGAGGAGAAGGAAGCCACGGAGAGTCCAAGAATACTTGGAATTGCTGGAGGTGCTAAAGCCTGGGGAGGGAGTGGGAGCCATCGGGGGAGGGGTGTGTGCATGTGTGGGGTGGGGGAGAGACATTTAAACATTGTAGGAATGAAGGATAAATTTAAAACCCATCAAATGGAGTTGAGACAGAATGACAACGTGAGGAGCATGAATCATTCTTTCTAGGGACCCACCCAGCTCTTGGCATGATCTGAAATATATTTTCTCCTTCATTTCTCCTTCTTATTAAGCTTAGTCTGAACCCTCCCCACCCCTTTCCTTTGACCTGGCCTTGGTGGTCAAATGTTTAATACTGGTCAGCATGTGTAGAAAACTCCAGCTTAGCTTCCAGAGGCCTTGGTGTACTGCTGGATGTCTGGGAAGGCCAGTCCAGATGATGTAGGAGGAGGAGAAAAATGAAGGTGCTGCCTTGGGGCTTGCTCTCCAAGGAAGTCGGGGTTATTGTTTTTCTCTTCTATGTATTAAGTTTGTCCTATCACTGGGCTTTTCTTTATAATTGCTATGCTAATGTAGTGATGAGGGTATTGAGAGTGGCACTCTGGATTCCGCGTCATGTAGTAGGGGCAGTCTGATCAATGTGGTGAAAAGAAAATAGGAGCTGAGACTTAAAATCTGAGTTGGCTCTTAGCTCTGACTTATTGGCAGTGTGACCCTGGGGCAAGTCTGTCATCCTTGTGACCTCATTCTTCTCATCTCTAAAATGGTATGGTTAGAACATTAAGATTTATAATCATTTCATATTGTAGTTTAAATCTGATTTGCAGTCCCTGTCAGAGAACGCAGAGACTAGCCAGGGGGCAGGTGTATAGGATAATATTCTAGGAGGATGCTTCCCCAGGGGCTCAGCATGGTCCCTCGTGTTTAGCAGGCCCCCACTCCACAGTGGTTGAGTGATTTGAATACCAAGATTTCTCTGAGCACACAGAGAACATAGCAGTTCTTAGGACCAAGGAGATGTAGGTATATACTGCTTGTGGTTACTAAAGGTGTGTTTAAGAGTATGCTTAGGGAAGAAGTTAAAAACTTGGGAGTTAGACTTCTGGCTGACAAGTATACAGCAGCCACTGCAAAGTGGGGATTCTTTCAAGTCAGAAGGACTGTTCCCAAGATCTCAGGCTTACGATGGGAATGTCTTCTGCATTCTCTAGGCTTCCTGAATTCTCCTCTGTGCACACACTCTTCCTTTGTTTATGAGCCTCCTGTCCCCATCTCCCCCACCATCCCCTGTTCCTGTTTCTCCCCCCATCTCCTATTTCCATCACCCCCTCATCTCCCATCCCATACCCAGAAAGCTTTACTTAAACCTAGCTTCAGGGTCCTGTCTTCTACACACCTCTATTGACCACGCTAGATGGGTAAAGTGGCCTCTGAGTGTCTGAAGGCATCTGGCCTACCTCAGTCATAGCACATCATGTTCTGTGATAAGAATAAGTGTTTCTCCTGTGTCCCTGTGAGTATGCTGTGGACTATGTCCAGCTCACCTTGGTGTGCCCGGTCCCTAGTATTGTGCTTGGTACATGGTAAGCTCTTGGTCAATGTTGGTTGAATGAGAAATCTTTCAAAGGTGAATCTGGCTGCGTTCTCCATGACATGGAAAGGGAGAATGGGACTCTGGAGAGTCATTGGAGCGTCCAAGTCCACACACGTTCCCTGGGTCTTGAGGTGGATCTATGCATTAAGAAAGGAGGAAGGAACCCAGTTCCGAAGAAGGGCCCACCTTCCAGGGTGGCTAACCCTGGAAGAGGGTGGGAGCAGCAGGTGGGCAGCACAGCATGTGGCTAGTGGACTTGCACAGAGAAGGAAAAGCTGGGACACTGGGAAAGGAGTGAGAAAGATTCTTTTAATCCAGCTTGATAAAGAACAGCCGCACTGCTTGTTTACCCAAGATGGTGTCCTTGCATTATAGAAGCACACGGAAATGTGTGTCACTCATTCACAGTTTGATGAGTCCTCATGATGGTGGGAAAGCCACATACATTCTGTAGAAAATGTACTTCATATTAGAATGTTGATCTTTCCAAGGGCTACTGATAAGCTTTTATGATTCTGGGCAGTGACGTGAGCCACAGTTCCTAGTCACATGATCATGAGGGGACAGAATTGGTACTGTACAGTGTGATATGTTGCTTGGCTGTGATGTTCGGTACCTTAGGTATTAACTGCCATGACTTTCACTATTTTCACCTTGTAATGGGTTTATTGGAGGGGAAGAGTACCTGTGATCATGTACTTCTTTAACTTCTGTCTTCTGTACTGGACTTGAGCTTCATAGTAAGAATGAAGTCTGCTTTCCTTAAACTCTGCTACCCAGTACCCCTAGTACCCAGACTAGTCCACAGTGGACACTCCTGATTTCAGCCACTTACTGAGCTCTAGCAGGGCAAGTAATATTGAGCAAGCCAGAAACCTGGCCTTGGAGGACCATGGTGTCATTAATCTCTCTCTCTTCTTTATTTCCCTGTGCCTGTGATCCTTTCCCACCACCTCTTCCCCGCCCCTTGTCTCTGCCCACCCTTTCCCCGGCAGAGCAATGTTCTGTGATGGTGCCCGAGATGCGTGGACTGAGCCCAGGCCGAAGGCTGCCGGAACCCGCCCTGTGCCTGGCTGCAGGTGGGAGCCCTGAGCCCGGGGCCAGCAGCCGGCGCCGCCATGTCCTGGCCCTGCCGGAGGAGGAGGCATGGCGGCCACAGCAATGTGCCCTGCTCGAGGCCGATGCCTCCGACGAAGTGGGCATGCTGCCTGCCTCACCCCGCTCCACAGTGGCCGGCTTCGACAACTTCTTCCCGGTGCAGGAGGGCGAGGGCCCAGGTTGGGAGGGCAGCACAGCGCTGGAGGCAGGCTCGAGCCCCTTCCTCCCCGTGAGCCCCGAGGTAATGAAGCGGAGGCGCGGGGGCCTCATCGAGCAGAGGGACATCATCAAGGCCCACGAGGCACACAAGATGCAAAGCACCCCGCAGGCCCGGCGCAAGGAGTGGGAGTGAGTATGGCAGGCGGGTGGGCCCTGGGGACAGGGCTGTCTCAGAGTCCAGAGAGGAGCAGGAGAGGATTTGTCTCCCTATCTGCTAACCCAGGGCTAGGACCCTCCCTGTGAGGTCCCTGTGGTCAGCCCTTGCCCTAACTATCCAGTTTGTAGGTCCTGCCGAACCTCACCGAGCTCTGTCAAATAAGGATGAATAAAGGTTGCATGTCCACCGCCCAACTAACCTGTTTTACTAAGTTCCTAGGGAGAAGGAATTGGGGTCTCTCTCTGTGAGCCATGGAGGATCCATAACAGCATGAGTCACCTGTCTCATGTTCCCCTCAGGAACTGCAACTGCCCTCCTCTTTCTGACTGTGGACTTAGATGCCTGTATTTGGAGCAAATCTCTCCTTAGAGGGGAGGGAAGATATTTACCAGGATGTGCAGCCAGTCATGGCTTCACCCCTGCTCTTTCTGTGTATGCCAGACAGATCTATGTTCTGATTTAGGCCAGTTTGGAAGCATGCCCCTTGAGAATTTAGTATTTTATTCCCAGGAGTCACAAACTAAATGAAAGTAGATTTCCATTTAATTCCAACTGCCCCAGTTTTATACACCATATAAGGACTCTGTTTTGTCTTTCAAGAGTTTATTGTGCATGTTTGCACACTATGCCTTGCATGCCTTTATCTCCTCTTGCCTGACATGGTAGAGTTGTTAAAGTGCAAGGAGACTAGTAACAGGTGTTTTCAATAGTGGTTGTCATGGTGGGATTTACCTTCTTGATTTCTGTGCATGATCTGGATAGTATGCTTGGGAGACATCAATTTGCTGCTCTCTTTCATGTGGATGTTAATTCCTAATAGTTTGTTCATTCATTCGGTGAGCCCTAATGTGTGCCAAGCTCCTGGGATTCAGGAGTTGAGTGTGGCCACCATTCAACAAATGGTATTGTTCATCTCTCAGTGCTGTTAGTTTTTAAAACCTTACAAATCTCTGAGATTGGAGAGCTGGCTCAGCAGTTAAGAGCACTGGCTGCTCTTGCAGAGGACCAGGGTCGAGTCCATAATCCACATGGTGGCTAACAACTGTCTGTAACTCCAGTTCCAGCAGAATCCAATGCCCTCTTTTGACCTCTGAAGGCATTGCACAACACAGATGCATTGTCATACATGCAGGCAATACATTCATACACATTAAAAATAAAAATAAAAAATAAAATATTTATTTAGCCTTACAACTCTCTAAGTGGCAGGAAACATTCTACATACCTTGCATGTACTAACTCCACCATGAAGTAGGTACAATTATGATCCACATTTGACAAATGAGGTACAGGGAAATGACTTTCTCAAGGCCACTTGATAATAACTGCATTGTTATTGCAATTTGATATTGATGAGTGATTTGAACCCTGGCATGCTAGTTCTAGATTTTCTGATTTGAATCATGAGAATATGGTACCTTTTGATCCCATTATATTTCTTTTTTAAAAAATTGTTGAATTTTTGTGTATTTCATATAGAATATGTTAATCATCTTTATATACCCTTCCCCATCTGCACCCTCCCATAGCCTCCACTGGATTTTACGCATTCTGTCCCCATAGTATTTCTTATCTCAACAGGCCATTGAGATGTCTTGGCCAGAGAACTGGAGTTGAGATTGATATACTTGGGACTAAATTCTCAAGGTGACTTAACTAGTGGTGTACCCTCGAGTAAGACATCTCATTATGGCTTCATAAGATGAACAGGAGGAAGTGGATAGCTATGACAGTATTTCTTCATATTCACAAGAAATTAATTGTGTGGTGGTACACACCTCTAATCACAACACTCAAGAAGCTGAGGCAGGAGAATCACCTCAAGTTTGAGGTGAGCCTGGGCTATGTAGTAAGTACTAGACTAGTCAGGGCTATATAGACGAACCCTGTTACAAACAAACAAACAAAAAAACAACAGAAGTATCTTCTACTTCTTTGTCTTATCTTTCTAACAAGACTCTGAAAAATGTGAAAGAAGTTCGTGGAGCTTACACATTGTTCATGTCACTCAAAGTCTGTCTTAGGGTCTACCTTGAGAATTCCTATAATACTTAATACTTTATTATTACTTTTATTTTTATGTTTGAGTGTATTACCTGCATGTAAGTATGTGCACCCATTTCATGCAATTCCCACAGAGGTCAGAAAAGGTCATTGAATTCCCCTGGAACTGGAGTTATGAATAGTTGTTAACTGCCATGTGGATGCTGGGAATCAAACCCTGGTCCTCTGCAAGAACAGCCAGTGCTCTTAAATGCTGAGCTATTTCTCCAGTCCCCATGAGAATTCCTATAATACTTAATGAAGAACTAGCTATACCATAATTAGCAATGTGTAAAAGTCTTTGATTCATTTCTTTAAGATCAACTTGCTAATGGAGGGATATCAGGGTTCATATCCAGCCACCTATCTGGGGTGTCAGTAAGAATGGTTAGGAGACTATTTTCAGTTGTGCAGGAGCATTGGGAGGTGAAGCAGGGAAGATACATCAATGGCCTGGGGATGTGTCAGTCTTTAGGAATGTAGCAGTAGAGGAGGAGCTCACAGAGGAGATGAGGAGAATGGTGGAGGAGGTGGGAAGAAATGCAGAGAAGGAAATGCAGAGAGTCTACGGGCAAGCAGTGAGAAGAAAAGTATTTTCAGAAGGAAGGCATCATCACCTGTATAGGATATGCTGGGAGGCCAAAAGAGATGAGGATGGAGGAGATACTGGTTTTGGCAATATGAAAATGACCTTGAGTGATGGAGTTAGAAAGCTGACTAGAACGGGTTGATGAGAAAGTGGAAATGATGGAGACAGTGATGTTGCCTCCTGTGTCTGGGCTCCCCCAACACTTACAGCTTCATCCCAGTAGTCTGTACCACCATGGCTGCCCATCCCTAGATTCTTTTATGGCTTTGAGTTACTTCCAACTCTCTCTAACTCTCTAAATCCCAATATTACACTGTCTAGAACTTATACTCCAACATTAGCAAAATCTTCTAACCTCCCTTCCCTTTTTCTTGCCTTTCTGTTCTCTTTTCTCCCCATTTCCCCCTTTTGTCTCTCTGTTTCTTTCTTTCATGAGGTGTTATACAGCTGGCTTGGCTTTGAACTCTTATTCCCCCTGCCTCTGTCTCCCGAGTATGGGGGGCTACAAGTGTGTGTAACACGTGCCATCTCATAATCCTACTGGCTCTTCTTAATTGCAGTCAATGACAGAGTCTAGTCCCTCCTTTCATTCTAGGAAGATTTTAGCTCTTGATTTACTGCCTCCTTCCCCAGTTCTTCACATGCCAGGAGTGTTTGCTAGTTTCACTGCCCTTGTAGGTGTCTGTTCCTGTGCCTTGGGCTCTTGGCTCTTTAAGATCTCCTCAGCATTTTTGCCTCATTGCATCTTGGTTCCGTGATTTTACATCTTTGTCATAACTACACTGATCCATCATCTCAGTTTCAAGCCTCCTTCTGCCTGATCATCACCTTTTTCTGTCCAGTGAGCTCCCATTAGTGCTCACAAGATTCCTTGATCCCACTGCACCCATAAGACATTGATCCTAGTATGTTTTTGCTGTTCCCATCGCTCACCCTGTACTTACTTCCCATCCTATCAAATTAAATTATATTAAAGACACAAAATGTTTTCCAGAGGAAAATGGTGACCTTTCGCTTGAGATCTCCTACCCTTTACATTCTTTCTTCCACTAGTTTCTAAAAGAGAAACAGTTGTCAGCAAAGGTTAAAGATGCCTGATCTCTCTCAGTTGGTCTATCTAGTCTGCTTCATGCTTCACCACCACCACCATCATCATCATCATTACTTCTGTCAATACTTGGACATTAGATGTCTAGGACCTGTCCTGTTCCCACCAAGGCTTATTTCCCAGTGATCTCACTGGCCCCATTTATTTAGCTGCATCATATATTGGTGCTTCCTCCCTTTTATTTCTAAGATGCCATCCATGATGCCTAGTACTTTCCAGTTCCCTTTGGCTCTCCTTTCAAAATGTATTGCATCTCTTTTCATCCATTCTACCATAAGCTCCCTGCTTCAAGTTGCCTTTTTAAAATTTCTATTCAAGAAACACTTAGATGGTCCTCCCTAGATATTAAGCACTATTCTAGATATCATCCAAATATAAATTCATTTATTCTTGTGATAATTGAATGAAAATGTTACCATTATTATGTCAGTTTTGTGTCATCATGACAAAATACCTGAGAGAAATCAACTGAAAGGATGAAACATTTATTTTAGCTCAAGGTTTCAGAGATTTTGGTCCATGGTCTCTTGGAACAGTTGCTTCTAAGCCTGTGGCAAGGCCATACATCCTGGCAGAAGTTCATGGTAGAGGAAGGCTGCTCACCTTATGATGATCAGGAAGCAAGACATTTATAATGGTGCCCCTCCCTTCAAACTATTAAGCTGTGAATGTATGAATGGACTGATCCATTCATGAGGTCAAAGATCCAATGGCCACCCAAAGGCCCACCTCTGAGCGCTGCTGCACTGGGGACCAAGCCTTCAGTATACAAGCCTTTGGAGGTAGGCACTGAAGAGCAAGACCATAACAATTATTATTTCTACTTTTACTGCTGGGGCACTGAATACTTAAGTATTGTTTCCAAGAGAATTAATTTGATTACCTCTTAAACAGCCTCCCTATTTCCACCCTTCCTTGCTAGCGTCTATTTCCCTCTTGGCAACTAAACATTCTTTTTTTTTCTTTTTTAAAAAAAAATTTTACAAAAACTTTGAGAATTTCATACATGCATATAAGATGTTTTGATCAAATCCATGCCCACTCCCTCCCCTCCAACATTCCCCCCTCTGAAGAGGTAACCCTAAAATCTTTTAAGGATTAGATAACAGCTCCCAAATACTTTTGACATTTTTGGCCTTTGGAACAGAGTATGTTGTTAACAGGCTCAAGGACGTTTTGACTTTTAGCCAAGAAACTGGCTACATTTCTTTGGGGTCTTTTTACCCTAACTG